CAAAGCTTGCTGCTAAGGTTCATCTAGCGAGCCCTAAAACTGCAAACTCGCTCTCTGTTCCCATGCTTTGCCAATAATTCCTTAAGAGTCGTTGTTACAACACTCTACAATGTCTGCAGAATTAGACGAAACAACATTCAGCTGTTTATTGGGGCAGGTGGTGGCATGGTGGTAACACACTGGACTCGCACTGAGGGCCAGGGTTTGAGTCCCAGGCTCTCCCTGTGAGACCAGGCATGCTTGTGTGTGTGTGTGTGCGCGCCTTACCCACACTGGCGGTTCTGCAGCCAATACACGGGGGAGGAAGGGCTGCTCATCCTTCTCTCTCCCTCTCCATCTCTGTCTCTCTCATGAAAGAAAGAAACTTAAAAAGAAAGATATTGACTTGGCAACTATAAGCACGTCTCATATCTTAAAGCTTTTTTTTTTGGAGAGATTTTCACTGTAGGGCGCGTGCGCTCGCCAGACAGAGAGAGAGAGACATAGAGACAGAAAGCGAGAAATCACCCCCCAGGGGGGATGGTCACGCCGCAATCCCTTCTCCTCCATTCTCCTCTCGGGCTCTTGGGCATGCACGCACACGCGCCCGGCGTGAGTTTTAAGCCACCAGGTCCAGGACATGAACCGCGGTTGACTACGTGGGAGTCCAGCGACATAGCCATTACGCTAACTGCTGGTTCCCCTATCTTAAAGCTTTTCATTTATTTTTTACAATTAAAATATTTCTTGCTATGGAGTGCATGCACTTGCCAGGGGCAGAAACAGAGAGAGGGACAGTGAGAAAGCACTTGGTTGCCAGTGATGAAAAGAAGACTGCACTGCAACAGATTTCAAGAAGAACTTAAAATTTTTTGAATAATTTTAGTGATATTTTGCTCATGGGTTGGAAAATTCAACCTGCTAATTCTTTCCAACTAGGTCCATGGAGCGATTGTAATGCTCATCACAATACCAGCAGGCCCTCCAGATGCTTTCTGGAGCTCAATGTAATTTCAACCTCATGTACATACAGAAGTGGTCTAAGAGGGACCAGCAGGTGGTGTGGTGGTTCAGGCACTGGACTCCGATATGGCTGAGCATGGTTCGAGTCCCTGACCTGGAGGCTTGCTTTCTCACCTTTTGTCTGTCTCTCTGGTGAGCACAAATGCCCTACAACAAATGAAAAGATAATAATACAGATAAATAAAATTAAATAATTCTCTAAGGAAATAATTATTAAAAAAATAGTCTAGGGAACCAGCAGTTGGCGTAATGGCTATGTCGCTGGACTCCCACGTAGTCGACCATGGTTCGCGTCCCGGACCCGGTGGCTTAAAACTCACGCTGGGCATGTGCGCGTACGTGCCCAAGATCCCGAGAGGAGAATGGAGGAGAAGGGATTGCGGCGTGACCATCCCCCCTGGGGGGTGATTTCTCGCTTTCTGTCTCTATGTCTCTCTCTGTCTGTCTGGCGAGCGCACGCACCCTATAGCAAAAATCTCTCCAAAAAAAAAAAAAAATCTCCAAGGAACAAGCAGGTGGTGTAATGGTTACATTGCTAGACTGCCACATAGTTGACCATGGTTCGAGTCCCAGACGCAGCGGATTAAAATTCATGCTGGGCAGGTGTGTATGTGTGCCCAAGATTCACAGAGGAGAAAGGATTGCGGCGTTGCCATCCTCCTTGAGGGATAATTTCTTGCTTTCTGTCTCTCTGTCTCTCTCTGTCTTTCTGGCAAGCACCCTATAGCAAAAAAATTATCTCTAAAAATGTAGTCTCAGAAAAGCAAAGATGTGAACTGACTGTACTAGTGTTGTAACAAATTAATACACACAACAGATTGAGCCATCGGCTTACTAACTTACAGTTCTGGAACTGAGAAGCCCTAACACTGTGGTGTCTCCAGGCTGCGTTCTTTCTGAAGGCTCCAGGGAAAATTGATGTCCACCTTCTCCAGATCAAGAGGCGGCCAGCACTCCTTGTTCCGGGCCCCTCCTCACTCAGCATCGCCCTCCGCCCCCACGCTGTTCTTGGCCCTGGTTCTCCTGCCCCTCTCTGCTAACGCCCTGTGACTGGATTAAGCCAACCAGGTAATCCAGGGTTTTCTCCTTTTCTTGTGATCTGTAATTTAATCAGACTCAGAAAGGCTCATTTTGCCAAGTCAAATGACATTTTTGCAGATTCTGGGAGTCAGGACTTGGGACGGCTAGGCAGAGACCACCAGGTAGAGACCACCATGTTGTCCACCCCAATGAGGCAGAGACCATGATCCCATTCACCGCAATGCCAGTGAGAGTGAGAGGGCAGGTGGTAGCCATGGGTAAGACAGCTGGTCTCACGTGGTCACTGTGTGGTTCGAGTGCCAGGCCCGCACGCAGGGGCGTGCCTGCCCACAATCCCAAAAGGAGAGACAGCGGAGGGGGGCTGCCGCATGGCCGCCGCAGTGGGAGGTGCTGCTCTGTTTCTCTCTCCCATTGACGGTCTCTTTGGCAAGCACACATGCCCTCTACAAATTTAAAAAAATAAAATAAAATAAACATAAGAGCAAGATGGGAAGGTCACTTTCAGCTTGCCCAAATTCTATCATTACTCTGTAGAATTTTAGACATTTTGGGGTTGGTATGAGAATTTAAAAATACAGAACAATGAGACAGAACAAAAAGTCCCCAAGCAGAATCCCATTGATTTGACCACTTAACTTAGAACAAAGTTACCTTTTTTCATTTAAAAAAAAAGTGTGCCAACAGTAGAATTCCTTTATGAAATGAAATGAAATGAACTGACCTCACACATGCAAACATCAAACACTAGTGGATTAAAAATCTAGTTTGGAAAGTGATTCTAGAAGATAGAACAGTAAAAGAGCGTCACAATCTTGGGTTAGGTTTTCCTTAACTTGGGCAGAAACAGCACTAACCATAAAGGAGATCCTTGAATTAATGGTAGGAACTTCACAGTTCTCAGGCTCTTCTGTGACCGTGGGAATGTCAGTCCAGCCACAGTGAAATAGCAGGCTACGTTTATCAAAATGGATCATGCCATGGCCGGCGTAGAAAAGGCTGCTCATTAGCTCCTGCCCTGCTAGCAGGAGTCCCAGCCCACATGTGCTCGCGTGGCCATGGTCCGCATCTCCTCAACTCCAGGCCTCGTGGCATTACCTCCAAAGTCAAATCAGTTCAGGGTAAATTACCTGGCCACCTCTCTCCTAGTTGTGTGCCCAAGGTAAACGCTTACGAAATCCACAAACTCTCATGGGTTCGTTTAACTGTCAGCATTTTTGTAATAGCTAAGCTGAAAATAAGCCGAATGTTTATCAACTATAGACAGTTAAGTAATGGTAGTAAATTCACACAAGTCTATGTGAAATGACAGTGAAAATCAGTGACGTGTAGATACTTACACAGTGTGTATAGATGTCAGGAAACCAACAATAGTAGTAACACCAACTGAAAGAACCAGAAACAGAAGGAGGCATGGCACACGTCCTCGTTTATGAGCTCAGAACTAGCAGCCATGGGGGACCAGCAGTTAGCGTAATGGTCATGTTGCTGAACTCCCATGTAGTCGACTGCAGTTCGAGTCCTGGACCCGGTGGTTTAAACTCACGCTGGGCGCGTGTGCATGTGTGCCCAAGATCCCGAGAGGAGAGTGGAGGAGAAGGGGTTGCGGCGTGGCCATCCCCCTGGGGGATGATTTCTCGCTTTCTGTCTCTCTGTCTCTCTGTCTCTCTCTCTGTGCCCTATAGCAAAAACCTCTCCAAGAAAGAAGAACTCGAGAACTAGAAGCCATGGGACTATTTGTGGATACCGTCAGTGCGCCGGGGAGGACAGTTACCGTGACTGGGACAGCCGTCTCCCAGGAGGTCCTATCTATTTCTTGACCTGAATCCTGGATTTGTGAGGTGATCATTCATTGAGTTGCACATTTAAGGTTTTGTGCTTTTTATCTTTCTTAATGTGTAATAATTTTTGGTAGGAAAAAATTTAAAAGTTTTTATGGTAGAATATTGCAAGCTCTTTTTATGTCTTACATTTTGACATAGAAAACTAGATTCTTCATGCAGTTAATGAGACTCAGAGAAAAATGTATAGCATTGATATTTATGCATCGCCAGCCCTGTTCACATAACGCTCAATAATATAACACTCCAGATGAAACGGCACCCTGCCATGGAGGAATATAGGCATTTACCTCTCCCTTGGGCAATGTTACACACAGGCAAACACAAGGCTTCCGTAATTACATTGTTTCACAGGTAATGAGACAGAGAACGACACGGGCGTGTGGTGATTACGCCAACAGCTTTTAGTACTAAAGTCAGAGCGCATCCATCTTTCCTGTCCGCCCCGAAATAGGACGGGAAGGAAGTGTTTTGATGGAGAACCTTTTATAATCAGATTCACCGACTTGTATTAAAAATACATATTCATGGTAACAATGTATCATCTATTATTATAAATTAACGTGGCCCCACTAAAGAAAAACTCTATTTTACTCAATAATTAATTGGCAAACAAGGCGAGAAATAGATTAAGTAAAGCAAAGGCAAAGAGAAATGGCATTTTCTACTAAACACGTCAGCAGAAAGGCGAAGTGAAAACAGATTCGGTTCATCCTAGACCACAGGACTTCCGGCTGGAGCAGGCACGCCCGTAATCCCAAGAGGAGAATGGAGGAAAAGCGGTTGCGACGTGGCCTTCCTCCCGGTGATTCCTCCCCGGGGGGGGGGGATTTCTCACTTTCCTTCTATCTCTGCCTATCTTTATCTCTGTCTCTCTCTCTCTGGTGAAAACCCTTTAAAAATTTAAAAAAAAAAAAAGAATACTTTTACTTAACTTTATTTACTTATTTTTAATTTGACCAGAGAGGGACAGAGCGAGAGAAAGAAGGGAAGAGAGGGTAAGTGAGAAAGCAGGCTGCCAGGTCTGGGACTCGCACCACAGTCAGCCATGTGGGAGTCCAGTGCCCTTAACCACCACGCCACCTGCTGGCCCTGGCAAAAACCTTTTAAAAAGAAAAGAGAAGAGAAAAGAAAAGATAGGATAATTACCAAAAGGCCACTGATGGGTTACATGGACTTGAAATCATGGGCTTCCACTGAAAAGCGAGAGTGATTTAGTCTGCAGGCCTCCAGGGTGCTCTGGTTTCAGGTGTGGGAGGGAACGCTCAGCCCCCGGCCGCTTTCTGGGCCCTGCTGGATGTCCAGGTTGGATGGAGGACTTTAACATCGCTGACCGGAACGTGAGCTCCTCGGGTCTGCGGAGCTCCAGATGCTGTTAGGAGTTCTGTGGCTGTGACCCGGGCAGTCGCTGTTCAAGTGTGACTTGAGGGGCGCTCAGGCGCTCAGGCAGGTGGCTGGACTTCTCTGTAGGCATGGTTCCCTACTTTTTTTAAAGAGAGAGAGATGAGAAAGAGAGAGATATATTTCAGACCAGGTCTCGCCATGTGCGGACCCTCCCACCCCAGCCTCGCAGTCGGTGAGGACGACAGGTCCCGTCCATCTCCTCTCCCTGAGCCTCCTCTAATGCTCCTCCTGCGCTCACGGTCTAGGCTCTGCTTGGGATGTGCCCAGCGTGTTGGACCAGAAGGAGCCTCCAGAGGAGCGGGCATGGTGGCAGGCTCCCCGTTGCCCCTGCCTGCTCCCTGCAGTCTGAGCCCGTGGGCAGTCCCAGCACCCTGGGCAGGTGTTTCAGGTGTCTGCAGTGAGAGGAGGCTAGTGCAGCCCCCGGGGCTAGAACCCTGCAGTTTTAAAGATGCAGCATGCATTCAGATTGCTCCCCGTGTAGGATTTGGCGTTACTCTACGGCAAATACCTAAACTACGTTTATTCCACTGCGCAGTAAAGCCGGCGTGCTGAGTGCGTCAGAGTGCGGCCGTGTTCCTGATGGGCATCCGCTGCTGGCGTGTGAGCACAGCAGGCCCCAACCCCAGAGGTGGAAATAATTTTGCCCTTTTAACGTTAAATTTTACGATGAAAAGGAATGGACATTAAAACTACAGAACAAACTTCTGGCCTGATAATCTTGGCTATGTTCCGATTAAACTCAGTTGACATTGCCAAGGAAAAAACAAATTAATCTGAAGATTAATTTTTGGGTTAAAGAAAGAAGAGAGAAGCAAGAAGGGAGAGGAAAGATTTATACCATCGCGAAGGCAGGCATGTCCAGGCCTTATGCACCCTGCTTCATAAGGGGCACCCTTGACAACTAGCCCTTCTGTAGTCTTGGGGCAGAAGAAGCATCGGTCCTAACATCCAGGCCGTCTTAGCGGGATAACGTGAGGTCCTGCAGTCTTCCGGTTTGTTCTCACAACTAAACTGATACCATCGATCTGCTCATCGTCGCTGCCGGGGTCTGCCCAGACCTCCTCGGGTGCCTCGTGGCCCCTGGCCCACCTGCCCAGCCATCCTGTGCTTTTGCCTCCTAGCTGCCAGTGCCTCCAGGAGCTGCAACTGCCATTCTGGAAGATGCTGCAGGCTCAGAGCCCTCCTTGGCTCCACCCCTGGAGGAGGAAGGTGCCTAGAATCTGTGCCCACAGGAGTGAGCCTCCACTAGTGACTGGCAGGTGCAGTCGTGGAAGCCCCGCCTCTTAGCTTGGCGGCAGGGATCCTGAGCTAGCCCTTACCCTGCAGATGCTCTGGAAGGGCAGGGGAGGCTGAGTTGTCAGTCTACTGTCCTGTTACATGTCCTCCTTCTCCGGTGGTTTTCCAGGGACACATCCTTCATCTGTTACTCCCACAGAAATCCTTATTTCTGGATCTATTTCAGAGAAACGTGTGCTAATGCACTTTGCTTTCTAAATAAAAACATGGACTTGGTGGGAATTCTGGTTCGTGTGCAGTCAGACCCCTCCTGATCAGTTAATAAGTAGGCGCTTGATTTACTGTGCCCAGTTCGCAAATTAGCTGAGACTTTATTCTAACCCAGAACATTCTGGATAAATTGAGGCTGTAAGTCTCAGCACCAAAGGCGAGACCCTGCGCAGCAGTAGTCTCACCAAACAGTGAGGCCTGCTGATTTTCTGGGAAACTGCCTGATCGCCTAACGGTCTCTAACCCTTTATTAAACTGAGTAGAAAACTTTTAGTGTTGATTTTCTGCACTGTATTATTCTTCTGGTTTATATTCTCTTTTTAAAGCTTTGCATGACCAGGGCCGGCAGGCGTCGTGGTGGTTAGGGGACTGGACTCCCACATGGCTGACTGCGGTTCAAGTCCTGAACATGACAGCTTGCTTTCTTTCTCTCTGACTCTGTCTTTTCTCTTTGGTGAGCATGTGTGCCCTATAGCAAATAAAAATAACTATGCTAAATACAATTAAATAATTATTTATAAAAAAGGTTCATATGACCAAACTGCTACACGTTTCGGCTAGACAAATGAACATACGCTCTCTGGTGGATGACGTTAGGGGAAACTGCACCTGTATTCTACGGTAAAGTGTTATGGTGATTCGTATGCTAAAATAAATTCCACTTCTGTCGATCACCGTGAATGACGTCATCGGCATCATTTCATCGTTGTCATTGTCACCACTGCCGCTGTTGTCATCGTCCTTGGCTGGATCCGTGGACACAGGACACAGCAGTGGGAAAACCTGGCTCTAACTCAGCCCTTATGTATGGAACTTGGGTTAATAGCAGTATATTCATACTTAGAATTCTTGAGTATTTCCTGGAAGCGTCCAGTTCTGATATTCTGAATGCAGTCTGACATCCAGGGTGCAATCTCCCAGCTGCAGAGGGTGGTTCCTCTGGGTCAGGCACATCGCAGTGCTTTTAGAATACAGTTTTGAAACCTTTGCCCAAAGTGCAGCCTAGAATACAAGAGTATTTCAAAAAACAGGCCTTTCTCCCTGATGACGCATTTAGTCAGCATGTCGCAGTGCTTTTAGAATACGGTTTTAAAACCTTTGCCCAAAGTAGCAGCCTAGAATACGAGAGTATTTAGAAAAACAGGCCTTTCTCCCTGATGACGCATTTATAAATGGCTTAGTACCTCCATTGGCTGCTGCTTCTTCCAGCAGTAGCCATTTCTGGGAGAACAGTGACGTATTTATTCATAAGTACTGACTGAGCCTTTGTTATGTATCAGACATTGTAAAACGCACCCTACAGAAGTCAGTCAACACGCAGATAAATAAATGAAAGAATATACAGACCCTGTACTCAAAAAGCTCAAAACCTTGTGGGGAATAAAGATATGTAAAACCCAACTGCAGTAAGACCAATGCTGTTGGAAACTCAGGGAAAGAAGCCATTTCCATTCTGTTTGGGATTTTAACTTTATTGTCACCCAAAAATTCTGCTTAGGGAGCCATTAGCAGTCCTGCTTCATTGTTGCCATTTTGACAGTGCGTTTCTGATCCCTCCTCATGTTCATCATGTCCCCAGATGTCCTGCTTCACTTTATTGTCCTGATGTTTAGGAACCTCAGATTGTTCCTGAAGGAGCACTAAAGGGCTGCAACTTGTGTCTGGCAGACTGCAACTCACAAAGAGAACAACAGTATGAAGGTGGTAACACACATTAATATGCAGATGCCGCTAATAAGTTTCACCTTTGCAATAAAAGTCTTTAATCCCACCAACTTTCTGTCCCCCAAATGTTTGACATAGTTTGCAAAGAGAACTTTGCATTCTCTCTACACTCATTTTGCATATTTGAGGGAACAGGAAGGATCACGTTCTGGTAAGTCCCCTACTTTATTTCCATGTTATTAACGTGACAGTTGTCATGGTCAATTGAAAGAGCAAGCACTAGGTGTTGTCTATAGTACAAAGACGTGCCTGCACCCTAACTGGCCATTTGCCGAGCTGGGTAACTGAGAGTCTACCTAATTCAAACACCACCTTAATAACCTGCTGCCACACATTCGAGGAGGAATGGCAGTGATGTCGTTCTCATTCCAGAATCGATGTCATTGACAGTGGCAGTAACAAACATTCTAGCTCTGTGTTCTCTATACTGAATTATTGAACAGTTAGTGTGACGCAAACGGCTAGATGTAACTTACCAGACTGCAGCATCTCAGTTAGCAAAAAGGGCAGGCGGTGTGGCAGTTAAGGTGTTGGGAACCCACATGGTGACCACAGTTCTAGTTCCAGACCTGGCGGCTTGCTTTCTTGCATTCCCTTTCTCTCTGGTCAAATTAAAATAATAATAATAAATAAACATTAGATAAATAGTTCTTTGAAAAAAGGAATTACTACATGCATTTACAAAGAAGTTTGTTCTTACGTGTTAGGGTTCATTAGTTAGCAAATAATTGTTTTTTAACATTCTTTAATACCTTTAACCACCTTTAGTTGTATACTGTGCAATAATTGAAAAAAGAATAAAAACCTAAGAAAATTATTTAAACAGGTCGTGGGGTTAAGTCAGATAACTTTTGTATAAGAAAAGTAAAATAAAACCTAGCTAGAGAAGAGCTTTGCCCTGTGTCGATCGGCCCTGCTGGTGACTCTGACGTGGATAGTTACCAGAAGGGGTAAAGTGGATTTTCACTGGTTTGTGTGAGGGCTATTAAAAAACAGCATTCTATTTTTTCTGGGTAAGGTGATTATAATCAAAGCACACTCCGCATTATCCCGGTTATGTTCAGTAGCGAACCAGGCCAGTCATTTCACACAAGCTCAAGGTCAGGACACTATGCACACGTATTGTCAAACGTGCTCCGTCACTCTATTATAGTTTAGTCATCAAAGCTATCAGTTGACAATTGAAGCGCATGAATATTTTAATAGATTTATATCATGTCAACACATCTTGAACAAAATAACTGCTAACAATTTCAAAATTCAGTGAGTTTGAACACCACTGAGATTGTATAATTTGGCTAATTTTACATAGTGGGAAGGAGAGGTGTGCAAAGGGGGCAGATAGCCGTGGAAGGCAGGCAGGGAGAGAGAGAAGAAAGGTCATATTTGTAGACTGCTTAATATTTGGCAGTTTTTCAGCTAACCAGAGGAAGGTAACAGTGAGTAACATTAACTATAAATCTCTATGCAATTATGTGAGGAAATAGTAATTTTTTTCAGCTCATAAAATGTAAGGCCTTACCTTTTCATTGGCACTTGTAAGCATCAGAATGTTTTTCTTTCATTTTCCCAGCAGAGATGCGCCTACCTCTCTGTGTCTCTGGGCAGTAAGGCTGTGTACCACTGCTAACACACAGTCCTCACATGTCCAGTGAAAGACAGTGAACTGGAAGTTCAGAAAACATCAGAAAGCAGGCTAGAGTGAAAGCTTGATTGCTCAGGAGTGATGTCAGAGAGTGGACGAGGAAGCTCCAGACTCACACCTCCACAGAGAGACGAAATCAAAAGCAGCATGCAGCCCAAAATAGCTTTCTTTTCATCTTCCTTCCTTCCCGTCTCTCCCTCGCTCTCTTTTTCATCTCCTTTTGTTCTTTCTTTCTTCTTCTTTTATATTTATACTTCTTTCTTTCTACTTTTTCCTTATTTTCTTCTTCCTTTTTTATGTAAGGGTGAATGCACTCACCACAGTGAAACAGAGACAGAGAGAAGGCAAGGGAGAAATCCCCCGCCCACCAGGGGTGACGGCCATGCCAAATCCCTTCTCCTCCATTCTCCGCTCATGATTTGGGGCAAGCTTGCACATGTACCTGGCATGATTTGAGACAAGTTCACACATGTACCTGGCATGATTTTCAAGCTGCCAGATCCAGGACTGGAACTGTGAAGTCAGCCATGCAGGATCCAGCGACTTAACTTCTGTACTACCTGCCGGCTCCTACACAAAAATAACTTTAAAAGTTCAGACCAGTGAAGAAGCTGCAGTCACCAAGTGCATAGTGAATGAGGACAGAGCCATAATAAAAGTGGTAGGAGATTTCGTAGAGTGTTTATTCACCTCTGTGATTCTACTCTTCTGTGGGGCAAAATGGCACAGTGGAGAGAAATCCCCAGGGTGGAACAGGAGAATTAGGGTGGCACTTGCGCTATGTCGACCTGTCTGGGTGCCGCCGAGGGACCAGTTTCTGTCTCGCTGGTTGGAGAGCTGATGGAAATGTCAGTGTAGTTTGCGAATCAGGTCGAGGGCTGTTGAAAACGGTGATGGGCGAGTGCCATGCTGAGAGCTGCGGAGTCTGTGGCCCACAGAATGTAAAGGAAGATAAATACAACACGTGGGAAAGGCTCCCAGAGGTAGGGTGAGACTCTTAGCGAGTTAAGATGTTGGAGAGCAGTCGTATAAATAGGTGAGCTGGGGTGAGACAGATATTGACAGACCCAGTGACAGTTCATCTTTAGGAAAGCTTCCACGAGACCCTACA